CTAGGTAGAGGGCTAAGTAGATGTATATAAATAACAACTGCATATAAATTATTCCTGTAAATAACAATCAGAATTCCATAAATTAAATACTGTACAGGTAAATAATGCAATTTGGGAAAGATAAATAAATAATTACATAAATAGATAAATAAATATCATTAAATTCACTTATGTAAATGTAACAGAATACAAAGATATCCGAGCACCTCTAGCTTTTGCACCACTTTATATATCCAGTACATCTTTATTATTTTTGAGCAGCAGCGAGCTTAAATTATGGCCTCTTTAAGTTTTTTCGTTTATAATTTTCTGCTGTCTTTGGTCGTCATACACAACACATTCGAGCAATAAGTGCTCGAGACTCTCCTCAACATTACACGGTGCGCAGTTCCTAACTTCCTCCTAAATTCCTAACTTTACTCAACCAAACGTAACACTAGTCCTAGACTAACCTAACGTTAACCAACCCTAATTCGGTCGTTTTAAAACGATAGTTCCTACTCACAGTAATTTGTTTTCAATGATCCGGATTTCGAGCTTTTAGGTCATCATCAGGTTGAATGAGTTCTCTCCTCCTTTAACTCCTTCAACCTGATGATGAGCTAAAAGCTCGAAATCCGGATCGTTGAATACAACTTACTGTGAGTAGGAACTATCTTTTTGAAAGGATTGAACACCGCACTCATTCCACCATTCATCATTTCTAACCCTAATTCGTTCCAAATACTAATGCTAGCCTAACCTAACTCAACCCAACCCATGTTCACCCCCCCCCCCGTAATGTGAAAACGAATGATGATTAAAAACGAAAATGTTCATGCAAAAAAATTCTATAGCCAGTTCAAAAACATAGGCGCAGTATTTTATATGGCAATTTTAAACAAAATTAATGACTTTTATTAGATTTCTAAGGACAATGAACATTAGATAGAAATATTTCATTTAGGTATTCAACTTTGAAAACAAGAGTGACAACAGGAAATAATTTTTAAAATATTTGAAATGCAATAATTCGTTAAAATAAATTTGATTACATACAAAACAAATTACAGGTTCAACACCCCACAGTCTCCAGGAGAAAATCTCATGATTTTAGGGCATCCGGGAATAATTGTTTGATAAATTATCACGCGGTAATAATTCGACATTAAATCATTTACAATTAATTAAGGTTTTTAATTGAGATAAAAAGTCAATGGCACGAGCGGGATTCGAACCCACGATCTTCGGCTAGAGATAGGAAGTTAGTGTCCGAGCGGATCGAGGTCACGATAGCTCAAGTGGTAGAGCAGAGGCGTATCTAGCCGAAGATCGTTGGTTCCAATCCCGCTCGTGCCATTGACTTTTTTATCTCAACTAAAAACCTTAATTAATTGTAATATATTAATTGGTCAAGCGGACCACGAAATTAGGGAATTAAATCATTTTCACACCACTTTTTGATGACTTTTGAAATCCATGTGTTTCTTAGTAGAACAGAAAATTCTTTCAAATGAGTCAGCAAAAAGTACACCAAGTTCCAGAATAAAAATTTACCTTAAACAGCAGCTGAAACGGAGTTCATTTTTAAATTCGGACAGCACCATTAGATTAAATTTTAAAAATTGATTTTTGAATTTTGATTTTTTCTTAAAACAAATTAATTGGCGGTATGAATGGAATAACAGGCAGGAAAGCAACATCACATTGTATACTTTGTATTTGGCCTTGCTTTTATCAAAACACTTAGAAACGTCGAACTTGGACATACCAGTCTTTTTAAATTTCACGTCCAAAAATAAAGTAAAAACCTTTAGGCAAGATTTTGTATTTTTTGGTATAATTCTGGAACTGGTCAAACTACTTTCATTAAAGGCAGTTTGGAAGCATTATTAGAAAGCTAGAAATAATTCGTGGTTTCTCCTTATCTCTTCTTCTTTATCTACTTGTCCATTCTTTTTCTTTACATATTTTATCTATTTCTATTCAGGTTTGAATTATTTGTATGATTGCCTTCTTTTCAAAGCCAGATCAAAAGGCATCGCCGAAAAAATGTGCAGGCAGTACAGAAATAAAATATAATCAGATTATTGCCATATCGTTGTCTAGGGTTATCTCAAAGAACAAAAAAATAATTTTTCCGTGGGAAACATCACTCAAAAGCAACCAAACCTTGAAATGTCATTAGCGTAGCACCGTGAATAGCTATTATGTCAACCCGGCTATCTTATTGTGCATTACAAGTTATCAGTTCAATGTAGCCCATCAAACGTAAATGTAAAATAGCTAATGTTACTACAAAAATCCAAGAAAAGTTGCATATTGCTATAACTTTTATTAATAAAATGATCCAATATAATTTTAAACAATAGCTCTGAACATTTATTTTCATTGTGTATTTTACTTTGTCTATTCTTCCGTATTTTTCTAGAAACAATCAGTTTCAGGCATTACAGTCATTGCTCCTCGTCTGTATTCTTGGTTGAATGTCCGCATGTTACTCTCGCGTTCTCTTCGCGGCGGAATGACGAAACGCGCCTTCACTTTGCCTCGTGGCCGTGAAAGGACGGTAAAATTAGTTTTTCGCCATTTCGACATTTTGAAAACAAATAACGTTTGGGGAAAATTTGCGTTTCTATTAATGTGACCGTTTGTAAATGGGACGTTGGTGAAACTGGAAATTATTATTTTAATATATCACGTACTAAATAGTTTTTATTTTTGTACTTGTTTGTCATATTTAAAATAAAGCCGTGTTATATATGATAAATGTATTTTAAATGAGTAAGTTCCTATATAAAACCAGTTAATGCCAAATTTCCAAAATAATCTCCTGGTTGTGTATAATTATTAATTATACATGTTAAACAGGGTCACTTACTGGGTCGAGTTCCTCACTAAAGATGGCTTAAAATTTGAGTGTCATCAAAACCCACAAGTGTAAACAGACCCAATAAGTGACTTACAAACCAACATCTAAAAGCGAAATTAATAATGCAGTTGTAGATGAATAAATAAGGTAAAAAGAAATAAATAATACAAAATAATTATACCTGCCATTTTAGTCAATGGTATATTGGATTTATTTTCACTCATTTTATCTAAAAATAAAATATGAAACTGCAATTAAATGAAAATATTTGTTACTCCATTTGGCTCAATGCGTTTAAAGAAATATTACAATATTTACAAAAACTCTAACACTAATCCTACCTAACTTAATTCTAACCCTAAACCTCCTAACCTAACCCGTTCCAATTCTAACCCTTATCATTCCTAACATAGCCTAATCCAACCCAACTCATGTGACTCACCATAACATGAAACTGATGGTGTGGTACAACAAAACAAAACCATACCATCCCAAACACTAACTCTACCTAACCCAACCTAACCCTAATGCTATGAAACCTAACCTAACTCGTCCCTAATTCTAATCCTAACCATTCCTAACCTAACCTAGCCTAACTCAACCCATGTGACTCACATGAAATTAATGATATGAAACTAATCATAGAAAAAATTATGTATCCAGCTCAAAAACATATCTATGATTAAAAAAAGTGTCTTTATACAGTAATTTAAAAGAAAGCCAATAAATAAATTCTATGTTTGTATTAGACTTCAAAGGAAAATGAACGTTAGATAGAAATGTCGCATTTGTGTATAAATAAAACGTTCAAACAAGGGCAACAACAATACAATAAATAATTTTTAAAATGTAATAAATTCTGTAATCAACTAGTTTATCCTTATGTTTTCCACGGTTGAAAACAACTCCATTTTTGTCCATAAATGCTGAAAGTTACTTTTTAAATGCTAAACTTGGCTAATGTCTGATATTTCTTTCTTAAGATGATATTTATTTGTCTATGTGAAATATAAATTTAAACAGAATGCGACGAAACTGTTTATAATAATTTGCTATATTCGTTCTTGCTATAATTGAATTTTCTCACAAGTGGGCACAAAATGAAAATGTCGATATGCCATTAGCCAAAGTAGGAAAGTAAAAACATTAACCAGGTCCTTTAGCCCAATTTTCTTTTTCATGATGACTATTGAAAGTGGAGAACGGCAAATGTTAATATTTCAGTTGATCAAACTGGTCAAAGGTCAAACATGTCTCGAAAATTTACAATTCAATTATACTTTCCTGCTGGTCATGTCGTATTATATTTAATTGATGCAGTTAAGCTCTTAGTAGAATAATAAAATTAATTAGAAATGAGCTGTACAAAAGTTAAATATATTACACATATACAATTTTAAATATACAACGTGTGCACTTATATACAATGCTTTCTCTATAAAACCAATTAATGAAAAATTTCCAAAATAATCTGGTTGTTTATAATAATTATACATGTTGAACAGCCCTTGGGTCACTTGCTGGGTCGAGTTCCTCACTGAAGCTCAAAGCCGAAACTCGTTTGTGTGTCATTGAAATCCACGAGTGTAAGGCCCAGTAAGTGACTCGCAAACCAATATCTAAAAACGAAATTAATTATGCAGTTTTAGATGAATAAATAAGGTAAAAATAAATAAATAAAATAAAATAATTATAACTGCCATTTTTGTCAATGGTATACTGGACTCATTTTATCTAAAAATAAAACATGAAATTGTAATTAAATGAAAATTTTTGTTACTACATTTGTGTATATAAGTATAATTAATTGAAATAAGCCTTTTTATTGTTTTTCATCCTTTTTTTTTAATGTATAATAGATAAAATAGTGATGCAATGAAATTATGCCCATTTTTTTCAAACTAATATCTGTAATTTGATTGTTACCAATCATCTTGGTCTGGCCATCATCGCTGGTTTGGAAAATTCAGTGTTCAGTCTGAAGATAACAAAATGCCAAAGCAAACCCAGCGAGAAAAAGCATACCAAGATGATCGGTAAGACCATAGGAGGTAATCGCATGATCTATTATGTGAAATAAAACAATAAGTCATAAAATATAGATTACACTTATAACTCAAGTTTTTTATTTTTGTATTGACTTTTTCAGATCTTTCACGTTATGTTTGGTTTAGTCAGGTCAGATTTGATGACGACAGTGATGCAAGTGTTTTCAAGAGTTATGCTCTGCCTTGGCGTCCTCGTGCAGTCTACTGAGGCACAGGGCTGCTTTGGTATAACGCCTATGCTGACGGCATGGTCGTTGTCTGAGATAGTCAGATATTCTTTCTACACGGTCAATCTTCTCACAGGGAGCGTACCGTATTTCATCACTTGGTGCAGGTAATTTGTGTTTACTTAAAAAAAAAATTATAATACATAATACAATTTTTTTAGATATACATTTTTCTACATTCTTTATCCTGTTGGTGTGTCTGGTGAGCTCATATGCTCATACTACTGCTTGCAGACTCTGAACGAATCAAAAGCGCACTATATTTCTCCAGAATATGCTACCTATTTTAAGTATTTCTTGGTAGCTGTGATGGTTACTTACATCCCAGGTAAGTTTTTTGTTAAATAACTTAAATAAAACAACACACTTACAAATCACATTTGCTACTTCTTTTTAAAAATTTTGGTTTCACCTTTCAGGCTTTCCCAAAATGTACTACTACATGATCAATCAAAGGAGGAAAGTCATCGGTGGCAGTTCGTCCACAAAAAAGACCCAATGAGGATAAAAAAAAATACACTATGTTTTCTTGCCAATATATTTATATATTTTTTTTTTGTATTAAACGATCAGCATGTACATACTAATATCTACTTACAAATAATATTTACATGTGTGTGTGATATGTTTTTACGTTTTTAATTTTAAAATAAATTAATGCAGACCTACCAATCTCTGATTCTACAAATTATAAATTCACAACTATCATTTTGTACAGACAATATGGATGATGTTGAATTTGTTCAGTTTTTAGTGTACAAAATTGTTCTTTTATCTTTGATAATAAACGATGGAAATTTTAAATTTCAATTTCTTTTTTCCTTTTGAAGTATTTTCAACTGGCTTATGTAATGCTTTTCTAAAAGAATCTAATCGTAATATTTTTCTGTGTGGTCTACAAGGTAATGAACATGTATTCAATCTGATCCTCCTGCTATTTGGCATAATTCTGTCTGACTGATCCAACCAGTGAAGATGAAATAATTAATAAAAAAGTCAGTGCCACGAGCGGGATTCGAACCCACTTATCTCAACTAAAAACCTTAATTAATTGAAAAATTTTAATTGATCAAGTGGACCACGAAAACTAGTGAATAAAATGAAAGAAATTAAAGAATTTACTTTCTGATAATATATGTTTTTCTGAACTACAAAGGTTGCCAAAATGGAACATATGAATTTTACATATCAAAACGTTTTTCTTTCTTAAACCAATTTTATCCATTTTTCAGCTAGTTTGAATTTGGTGACAATACCAATCCTTTGGTTTTTGACATGCCTCCTAGATCCAATGATTTTAGGTTAGGTGTAAAGGATGAAGTGACATCATTCTTTACATTTCTTACTTTTCTTTCTGTCAAAAGTGTGTAAACATTGTCTAGTAAAACATTGCTTCATTCTACTTTTGAAGCTGGGTGTGACGAGCAGTTTCCCTTTTTCCGTGCGTGCGGCTCGCGGCTCGTTCAAATACCGTCTCTCGCTAGGGTGCTCCGAGAGGGTAGCGAGCTACCCCACTATAGGCTCATCAAGCCTTTTAGGGGTAAGATTTGTCAGGTTGCCCGGCTTGACGGGTGAACACCCTTTACTTACTACTAACTCTGGACAAGGAGGTTTGGGGGGAAAGATACACCAATTCAGACAGAACAACAGGTCCCTTTATTTGATATGACTGTACAATTCCCACTATGTATAATCAACTAGTGAATAACGCCCTAACCCTTCTTATAAATAGCAACCCTTATTTCCTATTAAACAATTCATACACAAAACTTATTACTGGAAGACTAATTCTAGATATAACTAATGCTCCTACTCTCTTTAACGAAACCTTAATACTAGGGGCTTAATTATTGTGATCGTAGTACTAAAAGTAGCCCAAAATCGCCCAACTGTTCTCCAAATCTCCCGCAAACCAATTGACAAAATTTGTACTCACAGGACTGGAATACGTGCATCGGTTTCGTCGGTTCGGTGGTACGGATCCTGCGAACTACGCTGACTAATCTGCCGCACCAGTTCCCCTTTTTACTCCGTTTGACAGACTCACTCGTCGTCTCCACGGGACACTCCGACTGACTCAACTGCGGACTCTCTTCGGACTCCACCCAGATTCTCTCTTCGGCCTCCACCCGGATTCTCTCTTCGGCCTCCACCCGGATTCTCTCTTCGGACTCCACCCGGATTCTCTCCGATTGTCCTTTTTATATCAATCCGTTCAGGGAGGAGGGGGGAACAGTTGCATTTCGAAAATACTCTATGCTTCCGGGTGACCCGATTGCCCTTTGTCCTCTCCAGATCATTGAGCTATTTCGGATGAGTCCGGGCATCAGCTAATCCTGAGGGTTGAGCAATAAGGCACTCAACAGCACAACAGCCAATTTTTCTAGGGTGATTGCCCCGGGATCAACTCACATTTCTCAATCGGGAAGGTCCAGCTGTTATTATTTTGGCAGCTTTTTTCTTTTTTAGCTGCGTCTGGAGTTCTCAAGAAGGACCGGGTCGGCTCCCGTGATTCCAGGCCACCTCCGGTTACTCACCCCGGCACAATACACTTTCCCAACAATTAGCTAACCTATTTCTACGTCTAATTTTAATATTTATATCAAACTTAAATTTTTACAACCCCGTTTAAGATTCCCTTCTGGTGATCTTCACACTGGGTTATTTTATTTTCAAAATCATAAATGCTTGATCAAACTTTTATGAACCTAATAATTGTTTCATAGCCATCCTCTGTCCCTGTATACCTAGGTTGACCCTATACCTGGGGACCTGCAATACTCTAAATTTATTTCAAGGGGTGACATTAGTGTTTTATGTTATACTAAACTTCCCCCTCATCAACTGCACCACAAATCCTCTTAATTTTTAGATGTAAACAATAGGCATATTTCATATAGATAAAGCATAAATTTATACCATTATTAATACCATGCAGATAAAAATTGTAATTTAAAGTACCTCCAGCCTTAAATTTGTTTGGACGAGATTCAAAAATCAACAAGATTAGAAAGCATGGTTATAAAGCAGCTTTGTTTAATTTTTAATAATTTTGAATGCATCTCCCATTCTAGGTTAGGTAGCATGGTTAATAATCTTGCATTTCTGTCATTTTCTTTCTTCCAGAAGCGTATGAGCATTATCTAAGTGCAGAATTGCTTCATTCAGGTTGATCAAAGCTGGGTGGGTATTTTTTTTTTTTTTGGGGGGGGGGGGTTACTCTGGCATATTACCCATGAAGTTTTCTTTTTCATTTTCTGTCGAGCGGGATTGGCCGACCAGGACCAGGTCCCCGCCGTGCGCCCGCACCCACTCATTCAGCTCCATCATCTTCTCATCTTCTAAATTTTTATGGTTGAATATAATCAAAAAGAAACGTTTATCAACTTTAGAAATCCATAGATTATGTTGAAAGCTGATGGATTGTTGCTTATTAGGACAGATTCTAAGTTTATTGGTTTGGAAATGTTTGGGACTTTGCTCAGATTTTTTAGCAGTTTGTATTTAGCCCATTGAGCTCATTCCACGACTGCCATTTGCTTGTACTACAAACAAGCCTGACTTTGGTACATACATTTCATTTTACTTGGGCTTGTTCAGGCTTCCATGACTAAAATTAATCCATCTTTATCTTGTTCGCTATTCGCTAAAGACTGCTTGTGCAAAAATATTGATCATACTGTTTTGTCAGGTCTCTGGTATCTATTACATTTCCTGTAAAACGGTTTCATAAAATTACTAGTAATAAAAATAAAGGATTTGCAATAAAATTTAGTTACACCCTGAATTAAAATTAATTTATACTGTTATTGAAGCTACGGTCTCCACCATAGGTTCAGAACCCCCAATCTAACCTATAATCTTAGGGAACCTGGTGGCTGAGTGGTTAGAACCTCTGACTAGTATTTGCCATTGCAGTTCTGGGTTCGAATTCTGGCACACAACATGGAATTTTAATTGGTAATAATGTATAAAAAATGTAAAGTGGTTTGAGGCGTGTCCACGACACCCAATAAGCCCTACTTATATGTCAGGAATTACTTTATTCGATTTTTTAGTTACTTGAATTTGAATTTATATAAGCTCAAATCCACACATGTATGTAATACATACAAACATGTGCCGGGTTGAGCCTATTCGCTTCCCATTGTCCACTGGTAATTTCAGATTTTGCTGTTTACAGTTAACTGCCAGGAGATTCGAAAATCACCCACCCCAGGTGTTGGATGTCCAGGGGCAGACCTCAGACTTATCCGTACAGCTATACATTTACTCCTATTTACTTATTATGTTCTTCCATTACCTTTTACAAATATAGCTAACCTAAGCGTGTTCCGCCATCAACCCTCTCACATCACACATTCATGCTAATAAATACATTCATACATCAACATAAACTAGATATACACAGCTATTAGTACTATATACAAACAGCAACCCTGTTTCCTCCAAAAATTGGAATGGGACCCAAACACTCGCTGCCATGCCCAGGCACAATTCTCAAATCAAGTTGCATTCCTGCACACTCTCTGTCTGGAGTCAAGGATGAAGGAATTATACCCTTCAATTAGAGGGAATACGAGTAACCTTTTTCTTTCAGTTACGATTATTGATCGTTTGTTAAATTTAATTTCTAAGAAGTTAGCGCCCAAGATGGTAGAAAAAAATTTAAAAATAGACACATTTGTCATTGAATTTATCATATTTGTTGTTTTGATCCTTACTGTGTATTAGGAATATGATCTTTTCAGGAATTAAAAAAATCAATCAATCAGTATTTCATCAACGGGAGGTTTATTTAGAGGCATTTCGATTACATGCAACCTATACAGTAATGTTCTCCTGTAAACAACAATACTCTCCTACAAAAATTATATTTAATATATATTTATTTATATTAGCACACACCATTTAAAAACATTTTACAACAAACGATATATCTACACACTTTGAGACTACGATCCAATTAAATGGTCATTAGCTCACAGTCTAAGACACCTTGATTACAAATGAAAATCCTTAAAATTTTACATTTTTTTCAGTGAATACATTCAAAGACAGTGATTTTTTTTTCTTTTTAGTTGTATTGACGGCAAGTCTGCTAGTTCTAACATGAACTATAACATAGTTTCTACGGCTTAACCAGTGGCAAAAAGAAAACTTTAAAGGAACATCATCATCTTGATTCACACTGTTCTCAAACTTCTAATTTTTTTCTGAATGTCAACATTTAAATGATAACAATCGCCTTAAAACACTGACCAAATTCAGCACTTTTATTTTGTCAATTTATTAAAAATCGTCCTAAAAGTTATTTTATTAGTGGTTCAGAATATAAACATTTTATTTTACTTGTATCAACATAATTTTTTTTAATATGCATTTTTAAAAGTTTATTTTTAGCATGAATGTGCATTATTTTGGCCTTTTTTTGTCTGTATTTTTTTAAAATATTTATTTTATATATGAAACTAACATCTAGCATCAAACAACAAACCGTACAAAACATGCACAGTCTGTTTTGACAAATCTTTTAGCACAGATATAATTTTTTTCCTCTTAATGATTACCCTAATGAGCATATTCTACAAAACATCAAATTGCAAATATATTGATGTAGTAGTAGTAGTAGGCATATTTATACATATATTCAGTTCTAGCTACATATTTATTACAGTGAACAATTAGCTACAAAAATAACATGTTTTGCTATACAATAATTCTTTAATTATATATAGTTGATACTATATATATAAATGTAGTAAACGTTTACAAATGCATTATTATTTTGAAATGTTAGTGATGATACATTCACTACCATTTTAAAGATATTGTATTCCATCTCTTTTGGTCCTTATTAAATTTACTAAACTTTCTGAAATGTCAATAGAAAAGAAAAGTTATAAAAGAAACAATGAAATGTTCTATGATATTGCAACCGTACTTGTGGTCGATCGAGCGTGGAATCTCGACGGTACAAAAATTATTGTTAACGACGTCTCGCTTCTTCGATAGATTTACTCCAGTAGAAAACAAGTGCTCTCTAAATTTACAAATGGTACAATATCAAATTATGATACTTTTTTGATTGACTATTATGCACAAGCTCATGTTTTTGAACCTTTGATAAAAAGTTATTTTTATTGTACAGGGTGAAAGCCTCTTAGTTTTTAAAACATTAATGTTTTTTATAAAATATTGTTTTTATTAAATATATAAATTAGTTTATAATTTGAAAATGTTTAATGGAAGTTTTAATATCTTTTTATCTTTTTTATTTTTAGATGTAGTTAAGTTTAATATTTGATAATATATTATAGGATACAGTTAAGGGCCGGCGATGACCTCAACTGTTTGTCAGCCCGTAAACCTCCCACTTTATACATATAGGATACATTTTTGTTAAAAATTATTATTGTTTACCTTTAGACAAATATCTGAGTAATATTTTTTTAGTTTTTTATATATTTATACAAATACAGAGACCTTTTTGTACCACCCTGTTAACATTGAATATTCATCATTAAACTCGATAAAGTGGTTTGATTTAGTGAATGCATCATTTTTTTTTACATCTAACCATATTTTTTTTGTCCTTACAATCTAATTTCAAGATACTCATCCAGATTTTATTCTATAATCATGATTAAGCATTTTGCGGTGTGAACCGTCTAAGTGTGAAAATTTGAACAAAAGTCATACACAGCCAAGTTATACACACACATGCTCTCTAGTTTAAAAAAAAAATTGTAAATGACCAGAAATTCGGGGCTCGTACAAGTTTGATTTTGTTTTTTGCTTCCGTGTGACCGTTCGCCCCAGTAATCGTTTTTACAGAAATGTACAATTGTCTACTTTAAACACTCTTTTGACCTGTCGGTTCAACTAAAAAAATAATAAATTACACAAGCTTTGTTAAAATAAAACAAGTTTAGCGCAGGGGCTATCTAAAATACTGTAGATAAAACATTTACAGTAATCGTTATAGATTATTTTTGTTTTAACACAACCTAGGCAGTGCTAATGGCATTTATTGGCAGTATTAACAATTTTCCCACCCGGTTTTATCTATATTTTTACTGTCTTACATGCTATTCTATAAAAGAAATAATTATCAACATTGCTTGTGTAATTTGAAATCCAAATTTCTAAAATTTGTGTGCTTAAAAAAATGAAAAAGGTCATGTTATTTCATGTAGCATTCGAATTCTATGATTGTGAATAGTAAATGCGATATGATTTTTATTGGCAATAGTTGGGTGAAATGACATAATGAAAAAATGAGAAAAAAAAATAAAAAGATGAAAAATGTGTAAACAATATTTTTTTTATTAAATACAATAACTTTTCTTTACATATTAAAAAATACAATAATAATGTTAAATTAAAAATTATAATTTCAAAACCTTTTATTACAGTTTCAAATTATTTTTTATTTATGACAGAAATAAAAACAGAATAATACTGCAATTAAGAAGGGCAGTTATGTGAAAGGCTGATTGATATTAAAAATACAGATCTAAATCATATTTAACAAATATTATATATAAGCTAAATACAATGAGTAGCGTATACAGACTAGCTAACAAAACGCTAATGCTGTTAACTACCCTAGACAAGCACATTATTATTTTCACTTATTTATAATAATCGATTACATTTGTTCTATCAGCCCCTCTGGCTACAATAAAACTAAACACAATAAATTAGTGCTAAATGGCCTCTTTACGATTGGCTTCAAATTATTTCTTAAACAACACTCTCACTAGTTTGACCACAAACAGATCTCTTTGCAAGGTGAGGACTGTGTGATGAGAGCTGCAATGACTAGCAGAATCCCCAAATCTCTCTCGACAGAGCCCCTTTTATTTATTTTCTGAACGAACATTACAAACTTAGCCCAAAAAAAGCTAGCGGAAATCCAATTATAACAGTCAGCAAGTGAGGTGCTTGTTATTTCAACGCGTTACTGTATAAATAATCTTAACATAACAAATTTAAAACAAAACGAAAATGTTATTTGTGAATAATTACTGCAAAACGATAACCTCATTTATAAGCTAATCATGTGATTTTTTTTTTTTTTTTTTTTTTTCAAAGGAACCGTTCATAAGGCCCTTGATTTTACTTAGACTATACAAGATTCAAGATTTCGACTATCTCAATTGGTCAGGTAACTGTAGGCATGATTTAAAGTAAAATTTTGCTTTTTGATAATGAGAAACTATTTCAAAACGGGGTTAAAAGGAATTTTCCAATGCCTCTACTATTCCAGTAATAAATTTATCATCGATTAACCAAAATAAATACAAATATACATCTCTTTGTATACATTTTGTATGCATAAAACTAGCACACGGAAACATGAACCACGGTTCACCTATATTAATATTAATTATTATAATGATTACAATTATTATTATTACATAGTTTTAGTATTTCATTTTTAACACTCAAACTAACAAAAATATACAATTTCTATGCGTACAACAATCAGTGTTACCAAATTTGTCATATACCATATATATATTTATAATATTGTAAATATATATACTTATATGTATAATGTATATGTATATTAAATAATGAATTGACTCATTTCTAAAGTGCTAGAGCTAAGGACTACTGGTTATTTCCTGTTCTGATAGAAAGGTTTCTAGGAGTCCCTGTGTTCGAGTTATAATAGAAGTGAGGGAGAGAGACATCACCGCATCTCTTTTGTTGACTCTTGGGAGAGGTGAGAAGAGGGGAGCAGTGGGGATTTTTCTCTGAGGGGAAAGTCGACGTGCGTGCAGGAGATGACTAATTGACAGATCAGACAAACGCCCAGCACTCGAGGGTCTTTACTACAAAGTCTTGTTGAGGCGATAGCGGCTCGTTCCCGTACGTCGCGCAGGGCTCGCTCCTGCCCTGGTAGAGGTCGCCGTCAAGCCAGAGACCGAATTTCCCGCTGAAAAAAGTCCGAGTAATGTTAGTTTTAATAGTTCGTGTGTGGAACGGAACGCCGGGTTGAAAAATTGGTTGGCTACCAAAATATAAAAAAATAGAGAAAATTCTACTTACTCTCCAGCACCGATCGATAACGATTCATTGTTTCCCTTGATGAAAAACATGTTGTCGCCTGTCCAGTTGTACACCTGGCACTCGGGTGAGAATCGGAAAAGTAAACTCTCACCGGTTCCGTAAAAATGGTCGCTTACTTTCAAGGAGCATGATGTCAAAGCTCCGAATACCTGTTAAATAAATAAATAATTTAAACATTTTACCAAATTTAACAGATGAAGTTTTTTTCTTTTTTATATAAGAAAAACATTGCAAATAGTAGTCACCAGTTTTAACTAACTTTATAGTTACTTGAAAACTTTTTAAAAGTAGTTTTATTGATTACATTATGTAAGTTGGCATAACTGTAGCCAAGTTTTTTTTTTTAAACCAAATTTAATTATGTATCTTTATTCTGATTACGATGGTATTCCTTCATGTGTATACAGGGTGGTGCATTTTTCGTGGCACCATAGGAAAAACAATGTACCACTTGTATAAACAGACTATCTAGTCACTTCAAGAATATCAGCCATGCCCATAGTCAAATCGTCCGCTGAAAGACTCAGATTTGGGAATGTTCTGCTGAGGGTGAACAATGAGCCCGAAACGTACAAAATAAAAAAATAATTCCTTGGGTTTTCTTTTCCACAACAAAATAAATGTCTCAGTTTCATGTTTGTTCAGCATACTGTAATTGATTTATGTTTTGAAATACTGGTTGGTGTAAATTTTTGACTTGATATGGTTTCACAGAAAAAATAGATAATGATAAATCGTAGTAGATCGTTCTCCACCTCAGGGTTATTAAACCTAAATGTTATCTAATGAAGGTACGATAAACCGCCAGGGATGAAGAGGCGCTGCAGCAGGTGGTTCACTGTTTTACCCATTATACTTGCATTTTTCGATGCACCACCATGAATGTTCGCATATCATAACTGATCATACAGGTCTACCTGTCCTTGCTGGCTTTTTGTGCCAGCTGGCAATTATTAAACCTATCTTGCTGATCAGAGGCGATCAAACTGTCGTTTAAAGGCAATACTTCTAGTTAAAAAAAAAAAATCTCCAAGACATGACATATTAAATATCTACAATTATTAATCTACATTAGGTGCAGATAAAAGGATCAAGAAAATCAATTATTTGCACAACACCCAACATAATTTTATGAATATATTTTTGGTGTCAAACATACGTTTTGGCTTTGTGCCATCTTCAGTGAGGAAGTTTGTGACCTAAGGCCAGTTCATCATATATGATCATATGACGAAAAAACTCAATTTTGATAAACCCTTATAAAACAGTATAATAAAATATTTTACAAAACTTACGTTATTGTCTGTATCTTGGATGACCATGAGGATTGGGCTTTCTACCCTTGTCATCTTCCTGTACATAGAATTAAGGGAAAATCCATGCTGCGATGTGCTGAACACCAGGGTCCATACATAGCCTAAAAGCCAAAAAATTTAATTAAAAAAACTTTTTAATTATTTATGTCAAAAAAGGTCTGGATTTAAAAAGCCTTGCCTTCCTAGTCGATAATTAAACAATTAATTAATTTCTAAACTCCAGCCTTGAACCACCCCCTCCCTTTATACGGTCAACAAGTGTTTTGCAATTCATTTTCTGAATGTGCAACTAGGAGGGCAAGATTTATTGAGGAAATAAAACATTTTCACGACCTTTGGCCCAAAAATTTGCAAAGTCAAAGACTCTGACGACATTGAAGGTTCCTTTGTAGACATTTTATACATAAAACATAATTGATTAATACTCTACGTTGTATCTATGTTTAAATATATTCACACAGCAAATGTTTATGCGATTCAAAAGTGTCAAGGCAAAATTTGATATTCATATGTCACAGTTATAATGATTTACGAAGATGGTATATTTATATATCACCATGATATATAATCTATTCTTCTTAGGAATTAAATTGACGGAATGGGTACGGATTAAGTACTTCAATAACAAATGCACTTTCAAATAAATAAAATATTTTTCTAGTTATTGTCTCTCAATTGTAACATGTGGTTAATTAATTCTGACCAGAGGATATAAAAATAGAGACTTATGTTTCTGACTTCAAACATCTGTTCAAAAATGATTCTGCACTGACAAAGATAAGCTCGTCCACCTGAACCACTCGATTTACCGGATTAGAAACAATTCTAGGAATAAAACGCTATCAGATAATTTTAAAACATGATAAAAGTGTTAAAATATTAAGCACAAGACAATCTATCTCCTTGGTGATTTTTTGGAAAGAAAAAAGATATCAAATCTAAGGAGGAAGCAGGCAGAAATGAATTACATATTTCTTAATAGGAAGCTGAAAGAATATCTGAAAAAAGTCGAAAACCTGATACCTTATATTTCAGGGCTACAACCATCTTCAGAAGAAAATATTGATATTTATGAAAATACATTACTAGGAATGTTGTAACTCCTGAATGAATTTTATTACATTTTATCTTTATCAAATAAAGTAGATCTTCGTGAAAACTAGATGAGGATAAGGACTAGGCTGATAATTACCTCACCACCGCAGAACCTGTTTTTCTTGTACACAGTAAAGAAAAACTGTACTTTTGGTTGTTATATTTTTGAAATAGAAAATTAAATCTAAGGACATAAGCCAGCATAAGTAAACAATTTATTTTAATTAATTAAACTTATAATCTAATTATTTGAAGATCGTGAGATGCGGTCTGGTGTGTAGGTTTTAGAAAAACATTTTCTTTATCGTGCCAACGTTTCAATCTTTATTGAGATCATCTTCAGTGCTCAAAGTGTTTGTTTTCCATGTAGATGTATCATTCACAGTCTCAGTGGGCAATCTCAACACGACTCACAAGAATGGCACATCTACACGGAAAACAAACACTTTGAGCCCTGAAGATGATCTCAATAAAGCTCGAAACGTGGCACGATAAAGAAAATGTTTTTCTAAAACCTACGTCGCACTAGACCGCATCTCACGATCTCCAAATAATCATCAACTAACGGTCACTAAACACCAAACTCTTTTAATCTAAGGTCTTGGTCGAGATGAAAATGAGTGTCACGGGCGGGATCGAACCCACGACCTTCGGCTAAATTCATATATGCACTGATATAATACAAATTTATTTTTCTCCAGGATAACGAAGACTAGCTATGATTTGTCTTAAAAAAATATTGTCTGTTCAATTAAAAGTTGTCAAACTTCAGGACGTGCGGCTTCCTCATAGTGTCGGGTTTTAGTTTTAGGTCTGGAAACGATATTCGAGGCATAAGTCAAAACAAAACCTGTGGACGAGAAGGGCACGTCCACAATCGGCGCGACATTTTACCACGTTTTGTCTTTGTAAATTAATAAAACAAGACGAAATTCGAAAGCAGTTCAATTACCTATTGTCGATCCGTTTGAATTTCAGAAGGGCGTATACAAAATAAAAAAAGGACGTGGGAGGAAAATGCGTAACGTAGCGAGCACGCGCGGACCAGTAGGTTAAAAAAACTATACAAAGACGACAAAACTTTAAGCCTTTACTTTATAACTCTAATGTACGCCAAGTTAAGAGTTGTTTACATTTTAGGAACTTTTATATGTTTAAAAAGATATTTTGTTCGGCAGATCCTAGTTTTAAACTTTTCTCGATTCATGAAAAATCCATAGGAAGAAATGAACAAAAACGATGAAAACTAGTGTTTTTAACGAGCAACTTGTGAAACGTTGTATCTAGCTGAACGGCTTATCTCATCGGTATTAGCTTCCCCCCGTCTTCATTGGTGATAAGGCTAGGGTTTAATAACCCCGAGTGATTGATATTCAAATACCTATAATTGTTTTTCCTAATTGGTTTTCCCCCTTTCGGCTCAAGGAACGGCGGATATCTCTTGATACCCCCGGGGCAAAACGCGCTTAAATTTTGAGATCGCCCGAATTTTTAGCAGTTTATCTATCAATAAACTTATGCCAGGCTTTTAACGAAAAACAACTTTTACAAGAAGACGTTTAGTTTAAAGAAAAAAGACAATTCAAAAACAGAAATAAATCAATAAGAAACCAAATGCAGTTCAACGAACCGATCAATTTATGTAGTGAGTGTCTCTATGCAATAATCTAAGCATAGAACTCGCAAAAGGTGGAAAAACACCCAAACAAACAAAAATTGAATACATCACTTACAGTCATTAATTAACATTTAAGAATAATCAGATTGTACCGACTGAAAATACTTTCTGAAGCTTATAAATTTAACAAATATAAATGAATATTACAATTAATTAAGGTTTTTAGTTGAGATAAAAAAGTCAATGGCACGAGCGGGATTCGAACCCACGATCTTCGGCTTGATACACCGCTGCTCTACCACTTGAGCTATCAGACCTCGATCCACTCGGACACCAACTTCCCATCTCAACCGCATCTGAATTTTCAACTAAAAACCTTAATTAATTGTAATATTCATTTATATTTGTTACATTTATAAGCTTCAGAAAGTATTTTCAGTCGGTACAATCTGATTATTCTTAAATGTTAATTAATGACTAAATAAAGTGGACCACGAAATTAGTGGAAATAAATGAATATGTTGTGTTGATAATAGATGGTGTGCTCAGTGCTAGTATGCAAAAATTGCCAATGGAAACGTCCCTGATCCTAATATCCCTCGAAAATTAGCCAATTGGTCGTAACTTTTCCTTTTTCCATGTACTTTTACCTGGCGTGTTTAAACGGTTCAGGAAACTTGAACAGGAAACAATTTCAGTGACATTTAATACGGGGCAAAAGGAAAACGGACTATGGATCACCTCGAAAATCCTTCATCAACTTCTCAGAAAGGCAATAGTTTTAATTACTGCACTCTACTGCGCACTCTATTCTTTTTGTTTACTTCCGTACCGATGATCCCTAAACCTCGCAAACCTACTCATCTCCCTAAGTTTTACTAATCAGCCTAGTTACCATCCTTGGCAAAAATCCTAGAAAATCTTGTTTTGATCATGCTCGCAAATGAATAACAACAGGAACAACACGACCGAACATTCATTGTTCACAAGGCGTTGCTGCTTAAAGCTCAAGCTTACCATCGGGTATCCAACAACCTGTTACCTCATTCTGCCTCTTGCACGAGCGGAGTCTCACAGGGGGGCACACTTTCTTCTCTACAAATCACAAATTACACTACAAACCTTCCCACCAACCCAGAAACAAACATTCACTTTTGCTTAAACAATCCTTTCTTTTCTTAACGATCCGTATACAAAACTATCTTCTCGACAAATTCCACTCCAAATTATCCAACCATCACAATCCTTTAATTCTATTTTCAAGAATCTTTCCTTTGGCAAAAATAAACGACTATCTGTTGTTTCTTGTTCGCGCTTATTTACTATAGAAACATCTCTTAGCCAGCCTTATTAAGTCCTCAAGACCACTGAACTTGATTGATCCTTGGATGATAGACGAGTAGTTTATCAGGTGCAGGATTATCAATGGTCAATGTTATGTGTTAACTACGAAATATAATGGATTTAATAAGTAAAATGAAGTATATCTTCACTACACGTACGTGAAGATGTGTGATAGAGCAGCGGCGTATCGAGCCGAAGATCGTGGGTTCGAATCCCGCTCGTGACACTAATTTCAACCAATACTTTACATAAAGATTAATCGGTTGAAAGAAGTTATTTGGTCAATCGGACCACGAAATATTATGTGTTATGTGTTAACGTTGAGTTATATTAAGAGAACAATCTTGATCCGATGATTATCTAGTGATTAATCGTCGCAGGTGATTGATTGCAGTTGTAAAGTCAAGGTTGTACCTTTTTTCTTCCAAAAAACAGATAGTCTGAAAAAAAAAATCGAAATGGCTCTCGGTTTGAAACAAATTACACTTCTGTTCGATTGTAAGCCTTGGCCTTCAAAGAGCCAAGATTTCGGTATAATTCGCTTTTAACCCGGCCCCACCTGCGTCTTTGAAACATAGAAAATGGAGATAAGACGTGAGGCAATTGCCGTTGTGCAAGTGTATTTTTAAACCTTGACGAGTCAAAAATTAAAATAAATAAACAAACGAGATGCAACCAAGTAGGAAGTCTCATCGACAGAGTAAAATAACATTTTTGTACGTCACTTTAGAATGTTTAGCATGAAACATGGTTTGCAATTTAAAAATTTAACGTTCGTCACTATAAATTCGAAGTATCCATGAGCATGATAAAATTGAATCCACGCCAACAAAAATAATCAAATAATTGTGCATTTTTACTATTGTCAGAATTTTTTATGATTTTACGATCTTTCATATACCACATTTTACCTTTTGATCAAAGTTAATCGGAAAGACTGCTGGGTTCCGTCCTGAAAACATCTAAAACATCTATAACTAAGCGAAACTGGGCGGACCTGAAGTTATCGATCAGTAGCTCTTAGAAAACAAGCCAACAAACGAATGTAACTGAAATAATTTATTTTCCAAAAGGACCGATAAAATTTTGAACATATTCGTTGTCATCATCGACAATGATACTGACCTTAGCAAAGGACAAACTGCGTAAAATCAAACGAACAATCAAGAAATTCTAAAAATTTTGTGAATTTTCAGACTTTTATGGTTTGGGGCATTGAAATGAAATATTCGATTTGAAATGTACTCGATGTAAAAGTTTATTTTCGCAAAAGTAAATGAATATTCCAGAAATTCTGACACTTTTTCGTATTTTTAGCTTTTTTATAGTTCGGATTATCAAAATGGAACAGTTGATTAGAAATTTACTTTTATGGTTTGGGCCAAAAGAAATATTTGGTTTAGAATTTACTCTTCTTAAAAATTATTTTTCTCATAAGATGGTTCTACTATGAAGAGAAAATCACTTTTTTCCAAACCTTGGAAATGTAAATGAACAGTCAAGAAATTCTGCCTATTTTGCGTACTTTCACCTTTTTATGGTTTGGACCAATAAAAATAAACATTTGATTAGGAATTAACGTTATTTACAAATTTATTTTCTTTAAAGAATGACCAAATTTGAAGAGAAAAATCCCTTTTAGCAAAGGCCAGAACTTGGAAAAGTAAATGAACAGGTCAAGAAATTCCGTAAATTTTTCGTATTTTTAACTTTTTTATAGTTTGGAATACCGAAATGAAACAATTGATTAGAAATTTACTCTACTTAAAAATTTATTTTCTCGAAAGACGGGTCTACTTTGAAGAGGAAATCTCTTTTATCAATAACTTTGGAAAATCGAATGGACAGTCAAGAAGTCTGGAAATGTTACGTATTTTCAGCTTTTTTATGGTTTGGGACATTGAAAAGAAATATTTGGTTTAGATTTTACTTTTCTTAAAAATTAGTTTTCTTAAGAGATTGCTAAATTTTGAAGAGAAAATCCCGTTTAGCAAATGCCAAACCTTGGAAAAGTAAATGAGCAGTCGAGAAATTCTGACAATTTTGCAAACTTTCAGCTTTTTTATGATTTGGTCCAATAAAAATAAATATTTTATTAGGAATTTACGTTATTTAGAAATTTATTTTCTTTAAAGAATGACCTAATTTGAAGATAAAATCAGTTGTAAAAGATAAAACTTTGGAGGCTTATCGAATAGTCAAGAAATTCTGCCAATTTTGCTTATTTTCAACTTTTTTATGATTTGGACCAATAAAAATAAATATTTGATTGGGAATTAACGTTATTTAGAAATTAATTTTTTTAAAGACTGACCTAATTTGAAGAGAAAATCCCTTTTAGGTAAGGCCAAATCTTGGAAAAGTAAATGAGCACTCAAGAAATTCTGACAATTTTGCGAACTTTCAGCTTTTTTATGGTTTGGTCCAATAAAAAAAAATATTTTCTTAAGAATTTATTTTATTTAGAATTTTTTTTTTTAAAGAATGACCTAATTTGAAGGGAAAAGCACTTGTAGCAAAGATCAAACTTCGGAAGGCTCAATGAATATTCAAGAAATTCTGGAAAATTGTAAAACGATGACGGTACTTCATATTGCAAGGAGAAATTCAGGACGTTAAAAACTTTCTATTGGCAAATGTATTGTTTATACATTTTTGATTCTGTATAATTGAAATATCACGAATTCTTCGAGTCGTGACAGAGAGCGAGAACAAGCGGACCAAAGGAGGTTTTCCACCAAATTGCCCACGGTTCATCGACCGGATGATCGGCCAATCTACAAACCGCATGTATAATTTATGTATAGGTACCACATCGAGGAAGGAAATTATGCACCAATTATATTTTTTTAGAACTTAAATTGCAGTTAGGTAAGAACATTTGAAGATTTATGTATTGATCTAGGATCTATATGAATATATAATTGCTAGATAGTAATAAAAAAGTTTAAATATGAATTTTAACGTAAAGGAAGACAGGAATTCCACGCATGGTTTTTAAGCAACAAGTTGCAAAAATTAAAGGTTTCTTAAGAGATTTTCTTTTTCAAACGGTTTCCTGAGTAAATGTGCAATGTAAATCTCTCACCTTCGGCTCTCGCTGGCAGATGTCTACATAGTTGTTTCCTGTGGTCCTCGGAGAGGATTTCCGTCGTTCCGACAAGGTCGGGCAGGAAGAGCTCCAAGTCGAGCGATGCAACGCTTGTCGCATACAATGCTCGTCTCAGTTCGCCGCTCATAGACAAGACCTGGAAAACAGAAATGGAAAATTTCAATCAAATTCGCCGATCGCTGACGCAAATCAATGCAACAAGACAGTTCATGCGCAGGCATCTAAATAGGCTCAAGGCGTTTTTTTTTGTATGTACTGTGGCCTTGTTTGTACTGTCGATTTTTAGAAAATAAAGTGTCAGTGAGATTGCAACGAAACCAGATCCGTCTTTAAGCTGACAAAAATCTGGAAGATTAACCGAAAAACCAAAAATTTAATTTATATAAACATAATATTGTATCAATTTTACTAATTACTACGTTTGTGTTCGTTGTAGTAACAAAAAAACAATATTTAAAACAGGTGTAATTTTGCAAACATTTGTTTTCGAATAGAAGAAAACTTTTTACAATGTACTTACGAACATGATCCATTCCTTAATACATATATTTTTTACACATTCACAAAAAAGAGAAAATGAATCGAGCAATATACTAAAATAGCAATATATACATTGTGCAACATAGCAACAATTTTTATTGTTGAAATTTTAATATTTACAATTATTATTTTTTTACGAGGGTTTTGCAACATCAGAAACCATATCAACCCTCAGGGTGCCGGTGTTTTTGAAAACAAAAGCCCATTTGTAAGTATGTCGGGTTCGAATGCAGGGCAGCTGGATTCGAACTCGGGACCTTTACCCTACAGTGATGAGCGCCGTATCAACGCCTAAACCGTTGCGGCCACCGACGCCCCTTTTTGCAATTATTACCAGGAGAAAAAACATAAAAATAAATTCAACAGCCTTGAAAAATTTTGTACATTTCGTTTATTTTGTTTACCATTTAGTTTACTTTTAGAATATCTTTATCGTCTGATAAGAAGAAATAATATAGAAAATAAAAGATAGGAAATACAATTTTCTTTTCCATCTTACTATATTTTTAAAAAATTAGTTTCTTTTATAACATATCTCTTCTTCTACTTACGAATACTACGCTCCATCCCTCTGATAATATTCATATTAAAAACAAGAAAAAATATTGCAAAATCCGTTATATTTAGTGGTCTATTGACCAAATTACTTCTTTCAATTGATTAATCTTTTTATGTAAGGTCTTGGTTGTAATGAAAAAGTTAGTGTTACGAGCGTGATTTGAACCCACGACCTTCGGCTCAATACGCCGCTGCTCTACCACTTGAGCTATCGTGACAAGTGGTAGAGCAGCGGCGTATTGAGCCGAAGGCCGTGAGTTCAAATCCCGCTCGTGACACTAACTTTTTCATTTCGACCAAAACCTTACATAAAAAGATTAAATATTGAAAAAATGTGTAAACACGTAAGTTTACACAGGTTTCATTGTACAGTGTAACAGGATTAAATTTTAAAATTATATGATAGTCCCAGCATGAATAATTAATAATTATTAATTGTATTTTGCTCTGTTTAAATACACTTTGATACATTTTGAAAATTTTGCTTAGTGTACAAGTAATGAGTCTAAAGAGTTAACTCACGTTTTATAACAAAAAGCCAAAATGTGTAATCCTACTGTTTTTGGTGGCGTTTTGGTTTTTTTTTCTTACAAAAACATGTCGCCCTTTACAAACAATGTTGAAATGATCAATTTTGATTTGATGGCGCGAACAGAATGATGGACATAAAATAGAAACCAAACGCTAGTTGCTTTCTTCTTCTTTTTTTTTTAAACTATCAATTCTGTTCTTTCATGTTTTCAGTATTTTACAATGTACAAACCGACAAAAGCATGGATTTTCAGTTGAACTCTTAATTATAGATACAGGACAGACACAAAAAAGAAAAACCCAATCCGAACGGTCACCTATTGCAAAACTGATTCTTTTTGTTTATTTTCATCCTGTTGACCTTTGCTTATCGACTTAACCCTTGTATCTTTAATACGTACAAATCTGCCAAAGGCATTATTTCTCAATTGCACACAAAACAGCTGACTTAAGATGGGTAAAAAAATCAAAATACTGTAAAGAATAAAGACACTTTTCTTAATATTTTCTCTATTAGGATATAGGTTTTGAGTTTTATACAGAAAAACTGAGACAGAATAGACACAGTACGCAGAGGAAAATAAAATCAGCAACCACTAACACAATTTAGTGGTTTTTTGTCTATTTTGATCAGTATTCCATATTTTATATAATTAAATTACATAGTTATAATATTTTTTGTGCTATTTACTGTATTTTTCACTTGAAAAAAAAAGAAGAAACATAAAGATAAATTGTAATTTAGAGTTACCTTTCATTATTTTAAGCAGCATTTTTTGTTATTACTTATTCAATCTGTATTTATATTGAAATAGGCATTTTACTTTGTCTAAGCTCAAAAAATCGGTGTGAAAACAGCATAGCACAAAAAGGGTAAAATCCGAAGACACGCCATTTTATAATTTGTTATATTTTTCGACACTTCTCTTACGTTCTAAGCATCTAAAGATTTGATACGCTTAAATTTAAATTGGTGCTTTTTGAACGGAATGAAAGACTTTCATGAACTAAATATAACCATAAAATAGAATAAAATAATTATAACAGGCGTTTTGAGATGTCATTATTTTTTGAATTTTGAATGTGTTCAACATTGTTCATCCTACTATCTTTTATCAATATAAATAGAACAAAATGCATTTTTTTAAAAGTTTTATTGAGTTCTTATTTTATTACAGACACAGAATAATTAAAACAAGGGAAAAATCAAATCTGAAGGATCACACATTGCAGATTTTTTTAAAATTTTCTCTTATTTTGACCATTGTTATTCGCTAGTAATAAAAAAAAATGTTTGTCTTTCATACGTACATCTGTTCATATAGACAAAGACGCATATTTTTCAGTCGTATACGAAATGGATGACACAGAACAGACGCGAGAAGGAGGGATGCGTCAAAAAAGGACCCAGGACATTTTAAATCATTTCATTTTTGAACAATCAATCTTTTTCATCATTTACATCCAAGCATCTTGTTTACCAAACGACTCGACAAATAAAAAAAAGAAAAAGCGATAAGAGAAAATTAAAAATCTAATATATATTTTTATTACTCCACTCGTAGGTTATCGCACTATCTCTTTTATATTGAAATCATAACAAGTGGAGAGTGAATTGTATTCAAAAATTTTTTTATCCCCAAGTTTGTCTCTAAATTAACCAATTTTTAGTATAAATCGAAAATATTATGGGAATTTATTTATTTGATTGTGTAAGAATTTTTTTTCTGGCAAAATGGGGTATCAGTTTGTTAACCTTTTCATACTACTTTAGGCACGTTTAGAAAACTTATCCTTAAATTTGTAATTATTTTTTAAAACTTTTACAACAGGACGATCAATGGAAAGTGTTTTGTAAAAAAAAAAAAGTCCGATAACGCTGGATAATTATTGTCGACCCGTTATTTCACGATTGCCATCCTGCGACATACTGGGAAGTGAAAGCCCGGCCGCGCTTCGCAACTTGGGTATAACGTAAGTCGACTTTAAGCATATCGTTGATTACGGATATTATTAACCGGGAGGGGAGAAAGTGGAACCGAGGTGAACGCACCAGGCTTCGGATGCAAAACTAGAAAGCCGCATAAAATTCAAAAAGCGAAGGAGGTAAAAAATACATATAAAAAAAGGCGTGTCGAAACGAAACAAAAACTGGGACGTGCTTTCACTCGTGTCAACCACCCCGGTCAAAAACAACTAAATAAAAGGTCAAGACGGGACAAACAATATTTAACATCACAATTTCATCATTTAATAACAATAATTATAAATTTCCTTGGGATAATCAAGTTGAAAGCACCTCCCTAGTCTCGTAGTTCTTTTTGGACGTGTACATACCATGTGTATATATCTGTGTGTCTATATGTATATATATGCATATATAATGTATACAATATTCTAATCTGGCATTAACTGGCTTTATAGAGGAAGCATTGTATATAAGTATACATAAGTATACACATTGTACGTTTGAAATTGTATATAAGTAATATATAAGTAATATATATGTATATATACATATATATGTATGTATTTACTTATATATGGACGTTTCGGGCGTACGTCCCATCATCAGTATCTGTAGGCCCGAAACGTCCATGTATAGACAAAATTTAATTATATATATATATATATATATATATTGTGTGTGTGTGTGTGTTAATGTTTCCATTTTTACCTTTTTTTTGTAGAAAAATTATACAGCCTCCCCCCCCCCCAACTTCAAAAATTTCAAATATGACCCTACGCTTCCTGACATCATTTTAAACNTACCAACACGTTGGGAGAAATGTATTGAGAGTATGGGAAATTATTTTGATTAAAGAACATTGCTTTAAAGTAACTAGTTTCTTTTTTTTTGTTTATTACCAAAATCCTGCATTATTTTCCGGACAACCCAATAATAGACAAAATTGAATGAAGTATTTCAACCACGGAGAGCATGGGATTTTTCAACCTTTGGACAAGAACTGCTACGAACCGTGGATTTTAAGAAAACGATAATTTAATTTAGATGTACGCTGTAATTATGTATTATATTAAACTAAAAGTATATATTAAATATACACAGTAACAAATGTAAATAACTTCATTATTACTTTTACATATTTGGCTGGAAAAACTCCATCAAATCATAAATCCAAATAAACACCGACAATTTTTAACACAAAATGAAAAAAAAAAAAAAAAAAAAAAAAAAAAAAAAAAAAACAGTAGACGAAAATGTAAAAGATTTCAGCATAATGAAAACAAAGATGAAAAATAATTTTTATCCAGACAAAAATTGCCTCAACTCAACTTCAAATACTCACATAACAATGAACGGACATGAATAACATATAAATTTTATAATAACAAACCTTCGTCTTGTTCTTGAGGTACTTGGCCAACTTCGAGAGTGACTTTGACTTGGGCATCTCGAGTTTTTTACTTTTTCTATCCTGGCTAGAGAATAAGTAGTCAAAAAGCGCGGTTTTCCGATTCCTTGTGATATCGCAGTCTTCCTTA